ACTACTCCCCTCATTAGACTTAAGTGTCGGCATGGGTTGGCTTATTGGTTGTAGAGGCTGTGTAGTCTCAAGCACATCATTAGCCTGCATATAGGGGTATTGTTGGACAAAAGCTGGGGTACTCTTTTAAGGATAGGTGTGGAAATGATGGTGCGAATGGTAGTGTGATCATTGCTCATTATATGTCGAGGAACTCCTAAAGGGTTAATAATGAGGATGGTAAGGGGCTAATTCAAGTGGTTGTGCCATTGCCTATTCAGCAAGCATTTGTTTAACAGTATAAATCAATTCATCAATTTTCCTTTTGAAACTATGAGTGTCATGATAAAGTATGAATGGAGAAAAATTAGTATCAAGATGATAATCATTTCAAGCCATCTCTACAGTCAAAATAGAATCACTCAAGCTAAAGGAAAATACAAAGAAACACAAAGTCCTCTCAACTATATGATCAAAATAATGAATTTTTTTTTTGGTGCACCCTATCCTCACTAAAAAAAATAAAAATAAAAGAAACTACCTAAAAAAATAAGGAAAAAAATCAAAAAATTAAATCTAGGAAAAAATGAAAAATAACCTAAAATTTGAAAAAAAAAAATTGAAAATAGCACCCAAATTTATTTTAGAAATTCAAAAAAATGAGAAAAAGAAAAAAAAATTAACAACTAAATTTAAAAAGTTAACACGTTTGACTCCCCGGCAATGGCGTCAAATTTTTGACACTCCTGTTGAATAGCATCAAAATTAATAAAAATTAAATTTTACAGTAAAGTGCAACCTAGGTCATCTCTTTAAGAGTTAATAGAATAACTATTTGAATTATGAATATAAAAGGTAAATAATGGAGGGTTTTTTTATGATGAAATTAAAACTAAATTAGAATTAAATAAATAAAGGAAATTCAACTAAGAAAATTATCAAAAACAAGCAGTGCAATCAATTACAATCCAATTACTTAAACTTAATCATCCTCTTCCACAAATTAATTTAATTTTATTTAACTTTATTATTCTAGTTTTATATAAATTTCTTAAATTCTCATTCAAGAATTAACAAGAAATTAAATTATATATTAATTGAAATCTTCCTTAACCCACAACTTAACAACTATTGTATGTTAGCCACACCAAAAATAAAGCATGAGTAATTACTCAAGTCAAGCCAAATTACTCTTAAGTTACTATATCAATCAATTATAGCAAGTAAAATCTCATATAAATTTATAACTCAAAAATTATGTAATAAATTTATTCTAATCAATAATAGCAACTAAAGCATAAAATTTAGAGGTAAAGAAAAGAAGAGAAAATTGAAATAAAGCTAAAATAAAATCTTCTTTAAATATCAAAGATTCTGATTAAAATTTAGGATTATAATTTGTAATTGATTACAGTAAAAAAATTAACTATTCATATAACTAAAAATCAAGCAATATGAGATGATAAATTGACGTGCCATCGATGGAGAAATTGAAGAAAAAGTAAACTGCAATCGCTGCTACCCTGTTTTCTCTTTTTTTTTGTTTTTTTTGTCCGAGTCATCTCTTTCCTCTACATTCCTTCCTTTATTGATATATAATCTATCAGGTGATGCAAGCAGCGTGCGTCTCCTCCTATAAATAACACTTAATGATTTAATAAAATGATCAGACTATTTTAAATAATCCTAATTAAATATTATACTAAAAGACTCAAAATAAATATAAACAAATTTTTAAATATTTAATTCTTAAATTAATCTCCGTCCATATTTTTTTTATCCAAAATAATCTTTATCAATATCTTTTAAATTGAATTTAAAAAATCTACACAAATAAAATAAAATTAAATAGTACCTGTATATAAATATTAAAGATATCATTTATATTTTAAAATCAGAAATTTAGTTAGTTAAATTTTAAAATTTAATATTGGCTAATGAAATTAAATAATATCTAATTAAATTTAATTAATCTTAAATAAATATTTAAAAATTTAAATTAAAAAAATAAAAATATATAAAATTATCATTTATGAAAAAGGTAAGACAAGCATACACAAAAGGACAATAATTGAGTAGTTGTAACGCGTCCGGCATCTCATCCCATTAAAAAATAAATATTTTAGAAGACTTTGTTAAAATTATTAGTATTTTTTAATTTTGATGGTCAAGAATGCCATCAATGGTCTCTTTAAATATCTGTCATCTATAATGCATGTCTTCGGTACCAATTGCTCACTGATCACTACAAAAGTTCGTACGAGCTTCTGCTTGAATCAGTGCTCTTTCCTGCATTTTCTCTAGTCATTAGTGAAAATTAAAGGAGGCTTCTATGTTCTATGACATTGAAATCTCTGCATGAAAAAGGTGATGACATTGAAATCTCTGCATAATTGGGTTTCTTTTTATGTTTAGATTTTTGTTCTTCTTGTTGCTGCTGCTACTTTCCATATAATATATATACTTGTTAACAGTTATATGTAATCCCGTTAACAAATTCTCATTATATTTCTCTCTGTTTTTTTTTACTGCTCATACTTGAAAGTGACCTTGTTTAAGGCATGATTTGGTATTAAATATGTGGATATCTTTTCTAATGAGAATTCAAACTTTGGTTTGCTGTGCATGTTATGAGAGTTCTCTTTGTTTTTTAAATATTTATTACTTGTGTAATGCGGTATTTTACATAACATAAGATTATATAACTGAAAATTTTAAAATTAAAATTAATGAGAATTAAATTATGCTGAAAATATTTCATTAATTAGTAAAAATAATTATAGAAGGATTTATAAAGCGTACTTGCAGAATCTATAAGTACATTCTCAAGTTTTGCCATATAAAAAGGAATAATGGAGGTAGTGATGCTTAACTGCTAGTTTGTTATTTTTCAAAACAGTTTTTATTTTTAAATTTTAAAAGCAAAAAACTTGTTTAATTAGTTGTTTTTTAAAATATTTAATTTAAAATTATTTTATTTTTATTTTTAAATACATGAAAAAAAAAGTTGCTTCTGATTTATTTTTTTGCGTTTGGAAAGAAAAACGGCGTGAGAAAAATGTTTTTTCATTAATAGTAAAAGTTGTAATTTTGGTAACAATGAAATAAGGAAGACGAAACATGCAAGTAAACTCTCATTCGCTTTTATATAATATAAGTTACTTTCTAAAAAAAAGTGATGATCATTTTTGTAAGTTACTTCGTATAAAAAAGTGTATTTTTTTTTAATTTTACCCTTTTATAACTTTAAATTAGTAAAATATTACATATGAGAGGGAAAAAAATTTAAAGATGTTACATTTAATAAGGGTAAGATGAGAAATTTATTCTTTTCTGGACAATATGGATAATTTAACTATCTTTCGTAAATTTTGGATAGACACTTAAAAATGATTTATATATGTGTGTGTGTGTGAGAATGAAAAGAGTATGTATTATCATGATTTTTTCCTCTCTTTTTAAATATATTATATAAGAGTCTATGCATGCTTTTGGTTTTACATACATACAAGGTTTTAAACACTGGTGATGCAAAATTTAATAGTGGCACCACGATTGAAACGTTTTTTTAATTAAATTAAGATATATAGTTTAATTATAAATTAATTATTTTAAATAAAAGGAATAAGAATATCTGGGCTCTAGTTATTAGTTAATCAAAACACATCTAGGAATTTATTTGCGTCTCCAAGCACATCTAGGGTCTAGTTCCAATAGCATTTGGATTTGAAATTAGATTTAGATTTAAATTAAATCCTTCATTTAGATACATAAAAGTAAATCCAAATTCATATTCATATTTTATTATAATTTATTTGTAATTTTAAATTTCTTCTAAATTCTAATTATTTGAAATTTTATCTACTTCAATCATATCATTTTCTTCACGTTTTAACTATTCGTTTGTTACTCTCATCTCTCCTCTCATATATTGTTTTGGTCTCACACTGGTTGAAAAATAAAGATAAGATTGTTATTCTCAATCTTTCATTTTTGGTTCAAATCTTAGATGGTCTTTCTTTTACCTTTAAAATTTGTTACATTATCCAAGCAAAGGATTTTTAACACATGAATTTTAAATGTAAAATTTTAAATCAAAAATTTATATTTAAATATATCAATTCCAACGCTACCTAAGTTGGAGTGATTTTAAATACACTTCTTCCTCTCCTAATTATAGAATAAACATTCACACCTCTTATATATTGGTCCATATTATATGGCAAAGTTGGAGTGATTTTTTTTCATTTTACCATTTATTTATTTATTGAGAGCCAAATTATATTTATTAGAAATTTAGAATTGGGTGTTTTCATTGTTAACTGCAAAAAATTTTTGCCAGTACTTTGAATTTCTAGAGAACAATAATTTATTATGGTATGAATGCAAAGAAGGACAAAATTGGAAAGTTAATAATTTTTTTAATAAGTCTAATGATATGCTCTCTAGTTCTAATTATAGGAAAAAATCTATAAACTTATGGATTTTAAGGAATGATAATTAATAACCTTAAAATTGTAAAAAATATTTGATTTTTTAAGGGTAAGATTTATGTACTTAGCATTATATACGTAATATACTTTTATCCAATTAAATCAAGACAAATTGATTATAACATATTAATAATATTAATAATAAGATTTTGATATAGAATAAATAATATATAAAAAATTCACATATCTTAATTTAATTAAAAAATAAGTGCCTTTTTTTAAATTTTCGCCATCACTAAAATTAATGATATGTCCAGGAATTATAACTTGGTACAGCTAAGGAAGGGAAATATAGGTAAAAATGTAACCACTACATTTTTACTCTTTAGTTAGCATCAAATAATATTGTAAAACTTTGCCCTGTAATTAAAATCGAAGGGAGTAACAATCTTTTCTTAATATTGACCAACTTGATTAAGTATGCCCTATGATTAGGATTGGAGGGAAAATATATCATCTTAATTACCTGAGCTCTTGGACTTGCACATCCATCCATTTAGAAGTACCTTATTCCTTCTGAAGCGACAGATGTCAATCCCTCCAAACTCACCATGGAGAGGGGCTGCAGCAGCCTATGCACAGCCTTTGAATCAAGATGAGATTTTAGGAGTCCAAGCTTTGGTGGAACAAGTTTACCACGTAAATTGTCGCCTTCCAGGAAATCCACCTCTTCCTGATATCATCTACAGAAGCAGTGAAGATGACGAAAATACAAGGAGGTATGTGTTCCGTTGGGACTTGACTCCCTATCAACAAGTCTTTGTTCATGGACTTGAAGCAAGACGTGAAGAAAACACTCCCGAGACCACTTACTTCAATTTGTGTCACTATGTCCATAATGCTGGTAGGCCTCTTGACTCAACTAGGCCAACACACATGCTTTCATTAGCACCACACCTAGTAGTGCATGGCATCCAGATCCCGATCTCCAACCTGGACAATCCATGCGAGTTTTTCGTTATGAGATCAATGCTCCTGGTGGCATTTGGGTTTCTCAGACCTTGGGTAATCATTATAGATTCCCGGCTCAAGACGAAGTTACATTCATTGGTGCCATTGCACCTCAATACATTCGCTCTGCTCAATTATACCTGGTCACACGTGAAGTTGGATCAAGGTAAGTTTTAAATTGATCAACATTTCTGGACCATAATGTGTAATACATTATATATATTTATTTTCTGTAGCTTTTGTTGTGCAGGTTTCCAAGATATGAGAGAGCTGATGACACACTAATACTAAATGCCAATTTTAATCCACAGTCGCATTCGCTTAGGATGATCCGACTTCGTAGGCCCGTAGTTGACTACATGGATAAAACTTCTGGACGTAAGAAATTGAAGAAGCTTAAAATTTATCCAACCACATTAAAACATATAAGAGAGAAAAGACAAGTCTCGGATGTCGACGTATATGATTGGTATGCAAATCAAGTGGAAGATATAAAGAGCTACATAAATGCTGCATTCCGTGCTCACAGGAACAATGAAGCCTATTTATTCATGAAACATGAGTATGTGCTAGTGAATTATGCTCCAAGATCAACAAATGACAAGATTATCAATGGTCCACTTTTTATTTGTGATGGCTATCGATCTCTTGTTGGCACAGCATTTGGAGAATATGGCATAGATTGTGCATTTGATACCGATGGCACTGAAGCTTTCACCTTCTCGGGGAAACTTTGTGCCTACATAGACTATGCTCCGGGATCCACAAATGACAAAATACTCCAAGGTCCAATGATAATCACGCCATGTTTCCCTTCTTCAAGGGTACGGTTTTTGAGAATGGCATAGATGCTGCATTTAGGGCAACTGCAACTAATGAAGCTTACTTATTCAAAGGCGACCAGTATGCTCTTATAAACTATAATTCCAAGACCCAATTTGCCATTCGTCACATTAACCAAGGCTTTTATAGTTTAAAAGGAACTATCTTTGAAAGTGGAATAGAAGCGGCTTTTGCATCTCACAGGACAGATGAAGCTTACATTTTTAAAGGAGACCAATATGCACTTATCAATTATGCCCCAGGTTCAACTAAAGACTATATAATTGATGGCGTGAAGAAAATCATTGACCATTGGCCCTCTCTTAGGCCAATATTGCCTCGTAACAATCATGGGCTTGATGAACATAATCATCACGATCAAGAACATGACAACCGAGACCAAGATCTTGAAGAAGCTGAGGATACACTTATATCATGGTATGAATATTGGAATACAAATTTCTATTGATGATATTTATTTTCTACTTCTTAATGTAATTTGTATTATTAGCATTGTTGACTTTATGTTTTCTCCAGGTTTTGCATTATGTGTGCTATTTGGATATGAGTTCTGTTAATAAGCCACATGTTCTTGGACTGAAGAGAACTCAGTCAAACCATTTTGCAAGAATTCCCTCTATAAATGTTCTAGGATGGAGCTTTGTGCAAATTTCTTCAATCACCTTTCTTTAACCAGTTCATGGTTGGTGTCGATAGCCTCCTCTTGCAGTCATGCTTGACAAAACCTTGCAGGGAGATTGGGGATATTTTGCAAGTTTGGTCTACCTCTCTCTTAGGTCCTTAGATATCATGTGGCACTATTATGCTGTAACTTTTTATGTTTTGGTATGTGTTGCGTAGGGTCGTGTCATGTTGTCATTTTGGTTGATGTTTTCATAGTTGTACTTTTTCATGTTTAAAACAGGTGAATTGTGTGGCTAAGATCATGAGATCCCATCAGCTGAGCCACGAATAATCTAGCATATATGAGCTTCAAAAGTTAAAGTTAGGTACTCCATTAAATTTATATTTAACTTCACTTTGACCCCTCTTCATCTATGGTTGAACTATTTCATCCAATCCTACGTATAAGTTATTTTTAACTACTTCACTGAAATTAAGAAAAGATAGTTACTTTATTATTATTTTTCAATTTACCCTTATTAAATGCACTTTCTTTAAAACATTTTGATAAGCCTACTTATACTTAATATATATGTTAATTATGGCTTCTAAAATGGATATTTATGGCGTGAAAAATATGGAAAAAAAGTTAAGACATTTTACTCACAATTTCACATTTTTACTTCATTTTAGAATAATGATGTAAAAAGTTTGTTAAAAAAAAAAAGAATAATGATGTAAAAAGGTTAAAAATGGGCTAAAAATATGAAGACCTTAACCGCTAGAGCTAAGTACCTTCCGAACCTAGATGCACTTTGTCAGAAGACAGCGGCGCACACAAGAAAGGCAAATCGCTTCTGCTTACATTAAAGGCTGGTCATTCACCCACCCACGGATGTGAAGATGGATGAACAAGGTTGATTAGTGTTTATGCAAACTGAGACCCCCCAGTATCAGGCGAACATCAAGCTAAGACACGTGTTTCACACAGAAATGCCCTAACATTTATATTTTTAATAATTTAGAAGCTAGAGATGTAAACTAGACAGAGTTTCTCTAATTTGGGCCACAACAACTTATCTGTTGAGGCCATTAATGAAAAGTGTCCAGTTTCCTACCTGCAGCTTAGGAGGTAGTGCAAATTTTCGAGAGTGACTTTATTAATCAGGGAGTCGAATCTCTTCTGCCCTTTTCTATTGTTCAGCGTTTTCTGAATTGGGATTCTTTGTCGTATTAATTATGTTTATTAGTTTATAAGTTTCCAGTCAAGGTAGGGAGTGGGGAGACAAGGAAAGGATGAATTTTCTGGCAGGGGGAGACAAACACACATCCGGTCGAGGCTGAACCAAGGCGACGGGAAAGAAGGAAAGATGAGAATCCACGCCTCTCTCTCACTCACTCTCTTCTCTGTTTTCGCCGACAAGCAGGAAAGAAGAATATAAGATATAAAAGTTGGTGGGAAAATTACAAGAAAGAACCCCACCAGATTTAATTATTATTATCATCATCATATTTTTATAATATGAGGCAAGGGTACTTTAGTACTTCTCCATATAAAAGAACATAAACTAACCTTTGACTTAAATAAAATCTGAATTCTAGATCTCTATATAAGTAATCGGTATAAATTCTATTTGGCCACTTCTCTTCATTTGTCCTAAAATTAAAATAATTAAATTAAATATTAATTGAGAAGAAATTTATTTAATTCAAATTTTGGATCATTATAATATACATATTGATATTTGGACTAATAACCACTTTGTTCATATTATAGCATTAAAGGTTGTCCAAAGTAGAAAATAAAAGTGAGTATGAAGAGGAAGAAACTAAAGTCATCATTAACATGCTATACTCAAGATGGAAGAGCATAAAGAGAGAATGATCCAAGAAGAGTTTAAGAAGAATGAAATCATTTATACAAGCTTAGATGTATCATAGCCGTGGACTTGAAAGGATGATATTCTTAGACTAGAAATCTTATTGTTAAACTAATTGATCTTTGGTTGTCTATATCTCACAAACTATGAAATTTTTTTTATCACTAACTTCATAAGATTTTCAAAGATATTTTATTTACTCAAAATGGAGTTAAGTTGAAAAAGTTATGAATATTTAAAGTTTAAGCTTTGAAATGTAAATTCTACAGAAAATCAAATTTAACCTCTACTCATGTTTTTAGGCATATCTCTCAATATACCAATCATTTTAATGTGAAACATATCTCATTTGAAAATAAACTCTAACAAATTTTTAATGATAGTTAATTTATTTAAAATAGAGTTCTAATAAAAAATATATGATTTTTAGAAATTGAGTGATGAGATATTGATTCTGCACTGTGTTCAATTTTAACCTTTAGTCACTCTTTTTGCTCCTATCTCACAAAGTACATTAAATTTAATGTGAAACTTTTTTTCACTAAAAACTAGATGTAAAGATATTTCCAATGATATATAATTTGATAGATTTTTAGTTGTACTGAGTCAGTAATAGCCTTCAAAAGTTCTATTATGTATAATGCCTCTCATACATGCATGAATGAGAATGTCCACATACATGTTTCAGCCTAAGTGAGTCCACTTCAAGATCGCATTATAACTAATACGTTTGAATTAGCCTTCATAAGCTTTGTTTTTCATTGAATAGCTTCTGTGATCTAATTCACAATTGAGTACATGGTGATGTATGCTTGAATCAATCACAGTATGATCAGCTTGAGTTATGCCTTCATCTAACCCACACATGTGACTTGTGTGATCCATGCTTGAATGAGAACCCAAGCCTTCTGTAATCCAATTCAAGCTTTAACTAGAAAGAGCACATGTTTGAATTAGACATAAGTAAATCAAACTATTCTATCCAAATCCAATTCAAGCATGAACTAGAAAGAGCACTCGCTTGAATTTGCCAAAAGTGAACCAAGCCTTTCTACCTTGGCTAATCCACATTTGAATTAGGCTAATCTATGCTTGAATTAACTTTTGACATTGCATTTAAAACATTTCATAGAAGAAGGGCTTTTTCACCTTTGCTTCACTCCTACACATCTTCAATAACTATAAATGGCCATATTATATCTCCAACAATTATTTCACTCAATGAGCTACAAATATAACACTTCAAACTTATTTTGACAAGAGAGTTAAGCTCAAAAACCATTAAGTTATGAATTCATGTTCATATTTCTTGTACTTTATGAAGATAATTGTTCTTTAAGCCAAATTGTACTCATTATGCTCGTAGAGAGAGTTTTATATGAGTGTAACTCATCTTCATACACATTGTAAAAGTGAGGGAGAGATTTTCATTATAATCAAGAGAGGTTATTATCTTGGGAGAAAAGCTCACTAGTGTTGTGAGTAATTGTAAGAGCTCACAAGTTTCAGAATATTGTAGTGGCTCACAAGTGCCTAATTTAAACTCGTAGATTATAGTGGAGAAATTTTAAGTGATTTGCTTGGGGACTGGATGTAGGTTTAAGTAATTAAAGTTGAATCAGGATAATCATAATTTCATTCTTCTCTCTTCTCTCAACTCTT